TTATTACTACTACTACTACTACTACTACTACTACTCCTCCTACTACTACTACTACTATTATTGTTATTATTATTGTTGTTGTTATTGTTATTATTATTGTTATTATTATTGTTATTGTTGTTGTATTATTATCATCTATAATTTATACAATTAACCTCCTTGTGGTTCAACCCCGGTCTTGCCGGGTTATTTATTACTTCGACACTCCTTCATTTGAGATAAGATATCAATTTTTTAGTCGTGTCATTTTACAAAATAAGATATAAAATATACGTTGTAAGATAAGTTTTTTTTCTTGAGGAAATTGCAAGACTTTGGCCATCAATCTGACACCCTTTGCAAAATTATATTACCCCAATCAGGGAGGAGTTAAAAAACTAAAAAACTGATTAAATTAAGAAAAAAAATTGAAAAAATTGAATTAAGAAAAACCAATTAAACCGATTAGAATTTTGAAAAAACAAACCGGTTCGGTTTGATTTTGATTTTATAAGCCTGAAATTGAAAAAATCAAACCAAACCCAAATCAGAAAAAAACTAAACCAAACCGAAAAAACCGAGCAAAAATAGTTTGAACTGAATTTTTTGAAAAAATAAACCAAACTGAAACTTGTTAGTTTAAATCGGTTTTGGTTGTTTTTAAAAAAAATCGATTTGGTTACTTTTTTTTTATAAAAACCAAACCAAATCAAAATAATCACCCCTTACTCCTAACATATAATATGAAAATAACTTTTTATTAAGAAAGAAATATGACTGAGTGGTTTGGTAATTAAAAATATTTCTTTCTTGAATATCAAAATCTAAACCTTAAATAATATTTTGAATTTTTATGAATTGCTTGATTTTTTTATTTAATATTTAATTATTGTTGTTGTTGTTGTTCTTATTATCTGGTCCTTTTGCTTTTCTATTTATATAATAGAATAGTATATTGTTGTTGTTGTTCTTATTACCTGGTCCTTCTGCTTTTCTATTTATATAATAGAATAGTATTTACTATAATTTTGAACCCCCGCATAGCCGGCGTGTCAACTTAGAATCCATTCGACCCAGTGCTGAAACCGGGCCGGGTTGAAAAAAATAGAAAAAGAAAACATTAAGTGTGACCTAGTGGGTTAACTCGATGACGTAGTTAACCCGACAAGACCCGATTAAAAACACGATTGTAACCTATTGATTTATATTTTTTTTAACTAAAACAATGTTATTTTAATTAAAAAATTGACCTGTCAAAATCTAATGACCAAGTTAAAACTCGAAATCCGGGTCTCGAATCAGGCCAGGCCGGGTTTGAAATCTGTGGTATTTACAATAGTCTCCGGCCATCTGCCTTGAACTTCTTTAATTACACCGTGTTTTCAAATGAATTATTCCATTAATACTTGCTTCAAATAATTCTTACATATTAAAATTAATTAATTAATAATTATTCCATTAATACTTGCTACAAATAATTCTTACATATTAAAATTAATTAATTAATAATGGCATTTCCCGCGCACCAAACCTTTAAGAGAAATAAATAACTCACCAAAAATATAGATTCCTCCACCTTCAAAACTACAGCTTTCCTTTGCAAATCAATGCTTAGATCTACGTGTTAAAATTAGTCTTCACACAAACAACAAATCTCCATCCTTAACCAGCACAAGGACCCACCATTACACACATAAAAAAAAACAATTAATATATCTCGTCTGATCACCACATACTACAATCACCCATGCATGCATCTTTACTTCAACAAGATCAACGGCTTGAAATTCAAATTTAGATGGTGATCATTCAAGGTATGCAGCATTAAAGTAGGGGTAGTTTGGGGATAATAAACTGGTCAAAGAATCAGTACCAAGTAAGCAAAATTCCAAGCTGGCAACGGCTGCAATTAGGATGGACACGCGCATGGAAGCACCCCTTTATAAAGTCCCCCGCTTCTGTTCCCATTCTCTTCATCTTCGAGGCGTGCAAACATCCTTCATTTCTTCCTCATTTTTTTCCTGTCTCAGTCAAATTTTGTGCTCATTAGCCATCACCCTCTCTCTGTCTCTAGATAAGTTCGAGAGGGGGGGGAGGGGGGGCGGCGAGAGAGAGAGAGCACATGCTTATGTTTTGAATAATGCTCCTATCTCTCTCTGGTGTGCTTCTTTTTTCATGGCTATTAACTCCTATTTTGTGTCGGCATTGCAGCTTTTCATTCTGTCAAAAACCAAACAAAAGTGAAACGTTTTCCCTAAGCCTTATCTCTCCTTGATGTACTCGTTTCCAACGTAGAAAGCATGCATTGGTGGGAGAAAACAATGGAGGAAAGATACAACAAGCATGATATCAGGAACCCATCTTTCTCTTCATCTCTTCTGGATGAAATCTACCGTTCTTTTGATGATGGTGAACCAAAACATGAAGAGTTGAAATTCTATCGAGAAACAATGCCGAGGAAACAAAACAAAGGTACTAGTGGGATTAAAATTGAACGAGAAGAAGGGATGTCAGCTCTTCAACCAGCTTGTTTGATCGGAAAATGGATGGAACAGAAGGTGAGTCAAAAGCTCATCACTCAACAGAGGAGGCAAAACCTGATGGAATTCGAGATAAAATCACAGCTTGATCATGATCTTGACCAAGATGTCCTGTTTTTTAGCTCCACTTCAACCTCTTCAGATTCTAGCTTTGGTGGGTTCTCATCTTCTGATACAGAATCCATGTATGGTGGGTTCTCAAGGGCTTCTTCTTTCAATCCACCACGGCCTCAGCCAGTCAGGACAAGCGCGTCGGCTCGGCCAGGAAAAACAGGGAGGACTCTGTTTTATGAACAGAGGGAAGCGCATATGTTCGATGATTACCACTACAATTCTGCTTCAGAACAGACACCAAGTTTTGAAGAGAGCTTAATCAAGCCCGAATCAAGAGCCTTAAAGACTTACCGCAATCTAAAGAAGGTGAAACAGCCAATTTCACCGGGTAGCAAGCTCGCAAATTTCCTTAATTCCCTCTTCACCACAGGGAACACAAAGAAATCAAAGAATTCACCTACCATTGGAAACTTTGATGAAGAAACGGAACTTAAATCAGGGCAAGCATCAACCTGCTCTTCTGCTTCATCGTTCTCAAGATCCTGTTTGAGCAAGCATTCGCCATCGACAAGGGAGAAATTACGCAATGGGGTTAAAAGGAGTGTCAGATTTTACCCTGTGAGTATAGTTGTTGATGAAGATTGCAGGCCAGTCGGACACAAATCATTATATGATGTGGAAGAATCAAGTCTAAAGTCTGTTTCTCTGTCAACAGCATGGGAAATTGGGAAATCACCATCAAGAAAAATAGATGATGAGCTTAAGTACCAAGTAGTGGAGAAGAGTAGGAGAATTGAGGAAGTGGCGAGAGAGTTCTTGAAAGATTATAATAAGAAGAAAAATGATGTTCTTAAGATTGATGTTGGCGGAAAGTACAATGATCGTTTTGAGGATGAACATGAAGATGAGGACGAAGATGATGATGCTGCAAGTTATTCGAGTTCGGATTTTTTCGAGCTTGATCATCTAGCAGTAATCGGAAAAGATCGTAGGTATTCTGAAGAGCTTCCTGTGTATGAAACTACTCATCTTGCAGTAATCGGAGAAAATCGTGCCATTGCTAATGGCTTGATGGTGTAGTTTCTAATAATAACTATGATGAGCTTAAGTACCAAGTATTTTCTTTTTCTTTTTCCATAATGGATCCAATGTGAAGATCCATTTTCGAGGTTATTGGGAATCATTGGAATGGTGAAAGGTGATGGTATATGAAAATATAGTTAATTTCTTAATGGTTGATGCCATCTCTAGTGGCTCCAATTAGAACAATCTTTCTGTTCCATGCATGCCATCTCTAATGGCTCCAATTAGAACAATCTTTCTGTTCCATGCTACATGGATTTTGCATTGCCCTGGCTCTATGCGTTTTTTCGGTGCTATTAATTTCATGGGACCTATGCTGATAAAATTATGCAGGAAGTTGGCCAAATCTCAGCCCTGAATGCGTCTATTTGCCTAGCTAATGTTAATGATTCAGTTTCGAAAATAACAATAATAAAATAAAGAAGAGAGAATATGATTTTACTGAAAAGAAACAAGTAGGGATGTGTTCATTCTTTGATGGTGATCTTAACTGGGAGAGAGACACTGACAGCACAGGTTTTGATAGAACTGAGGAAAAGAAAAGGGGGAAAGAGAGATAAAGAGAGAAGTGAAGGGAGAAGAAAAATAAAAGATTCGAGGTCTTAATCACAAGAAAAATAAGAGGGTGTGATGGTAAAGGCAAAGGCAGATCTTCGCTAATGGGAAAAGGTTGGTTTTGTATTCTTGTCTATAATAATTTAAAAAATAATATAAATTATATATTAAAATTTTATTTACTATTTTAAATTATTAAATTAAAATAATTTTTTAATATGATATTAAATCTTGATAATTAAGAATTATAATTTTTTTAATGCATTGCGTGTATCTCATAGAGGCAGGAATAGAAATTGTTCAAATTCAGAGGCAACAATAAAGCAGCAGCATGGTGCAAGACATGGTAACAGAAGCTGGTGGTCCTAAGAATTAACAGAGGATAGCTGTATCAATAAATAAATAAATAGCTGTAAATATCAAATGGGTTTACTGCCGACGACGATTGCATAGTTCTGATGAACTGTAGATCCATGTTCGCAGGTGGCACTTGAAAATTTCTGTCCTATAGGAAGATTTATGTTGAAGGGAGAGCGGGGAAGAGAGTGAGCGAGCAAGGGAGGGCTATAAAGCTCTCATTTACTACAATAGGGTGGGTGGTGTTTAAAATTGAAAATTTTCGAATTTTTTTTTATTTTAAATAATTTTTTATTTTTAGATTATTTTGATATGTTAATATCTAAAATAAATTTTAAAAAATATAAAAATATTATTTTAATATATTTTTAAATAAAAAATACTTTAAAAAATAAACAATAATATAACACCAAACAAGCTCTTCAACATACCCTCACCATCTTAAAAAAATAAATAAAAATAAAGGTGGTGATTTGATTGCCCTCACTGGCATGCATGCAACATTGTCTTCGCCTGGAAATTAAACAAATTATTTGATTGATAGCAAATGACTACACTGATTGATGTATTACAAGGGGGGTAAGGCAGTGTTGACAATTATTGTACGTTTTCCTGCATCGTTTTCTCCTCAAAATCCTGCTATATATATCTTTTTAAGATGCCCATCCAAGTCTTTATAGAGAGCTGAGACATGATATGCCCGAAAGGAATCACATAAGTATGAATATGCCAATCAACAAAATTTTCCTGCCTCCAAGAATCCTAATTATGCTGCTACGTGCAGTATATCTTTCTTGATTTTGCCATATGGAGTCTCGAGATGCATTGTACTATACTCCATGAAAACAAGATAAAGAGCTAGCTCTTGAGTGACAGTTCCTGCTCAATTCCCTTCCTCATGCATCAAAAGCACCGAGTAAAAAGAATTTATTACAGAGATCAAGTTGAGAATATTAGAAGCAAGTGGCTAGAACTAAGTTCAACTTGAAATCCTTGTAAGAGGCTAGGGGTTCATCGTTAGTAGTAGGCCTAATAATAGTAGACCTAGATGTAACTAAGACGTGATGAGCATGATGAGAAGAATAATGTTCGTGGGCGTGAAGTGAAGTTTTCCTTGAAAAAATAAACCAAACTGCCTAGCCCCCTCTTGTCATTCACTTGTTTAGTCTAATCACATTGATGCTCTGTCCACCAAACTATGCATTCGTAGTTATCAATCTTAGCCTTGGTAACCGGTTAATTTGAAATTTAGTTTTCGTCAGGTTTCCTTTAAACTATTAAAAAAAAATAGTTAAACTCCGGTGACTACGCTAAATAATCTCCAATAATTTCGTGGTCAATTTATATATGAAATGATCTAGTCAATATTTTTTAAATTTTTTGTGCAAAATAACATTATTTCCATTTTTTATAAATTTTATTAAAAATAATATTTTTTATTAAAAAAACTTAATTAATATAAGTTAGTTTGTGAATTTATGGTTTAACCTCCAATTATGATTTGTATTTTAAGCTAAATCATATTTTATAATTATATTTTGAGCTAAATCATATTTAAAAAAAATTTTAAAACCGGTATAAATCTCTTTAGAACAAATATAATTTAAAATTTTAAGTAATTAAATAAGATTATTTAGTTCAATAAAAAGAAAACTTACTAAACATATAAATATTTCAAAAAAAAAACTTAGAGTTCATGCATATTAAAATTATAAACATGAAATAATAAACTTGTAAAGATGTACACATGGCAAGTAAATATATAAAAGACTATCATAGAAAAATCATGCTATGAAAGGCTAATAAAATATATAAAAGTTTTAACAACTATACTAAGCATGCATTCAAAGAAATAAAAGAGATAAAAAATTAATCATAGCATCATATAAAAAAAAATAGAGTAAATAAAATAAAATAATAATATTTCCTTGTTAAAAAAATTTAAAATTAATAAATTTTTGTTGTTTTTTAAAATAAATTATGTATCCTTAAAACTTTATTATTTCTTTTTTGATGCAGAAGATGTTTATAATAATTCTTTCAAGATTCTAACAACGTCATCTTAGTTTATACAAACTTCTAAATAAAATATTTAAATTAAAAATTATATAACTCAAATGGATCTTAATAAGATAATTATAATCTTTAAATTTCTAAAAAAACAAAAGCATGAAAAGAAAAAGAAAACAACTGAAAAAGTGATGAGCAAAAGTGAAGGGAAAAAAAAAGCTTATGGAAGTGATTGTTAGCATTCACATGCCCTGCTAAAAGAAATATTTTTTTATAGATTAAGTTGAAATTTAATTTTTAATTAAAAAATAATTTTTAAAAATTAAAATATTATTTTATAGTAAATTTAAATCTAGATGAGAGCAGAAACGGGGTCAACACACCCGGTTGAAGCTCAAAAACTGATTTTATATATAATCTTAAGACTACTCATCATAATGTTTTCAAGCAGGCTGCATGAACAGAGGATATTGATAAAATATTTTTATACCAGTTACATGACGAGGGCTACCGATCAGAATATTATTAAGTCAATTATACGAGTAGAGGCTGATCAAAATGTTTTGAAGCCGCGTGAGCAAGATTGTCGATTTAAAATGGTTCGAGCCCCCAGCACGGGCAGGGGCTATGAGCTTCTAGATAACGGTTAGCCAACAGCATGAGTCGGGACTAAACCACATACGCGATATCAACAATTGAAAAGTGAGAATATGAGTGGATCCAAATCGAGTGTTCCACTGTATTGGGAATATAAGACCCGTTTGTTTTGGGAATATAATATCGTTTGTTTGCTGAAAAATTATTTTTTTTCTAAAGTGAATTATGAAAAAAGTAAATTTCAAAAAAATGAATTTTGGAGAAAATGAATTCCTGAAAAGTAAAGTATTTTTCGATGTTTAGTAGTGTTATGAAAAATGAATTGGAAAATAATTTATTAATATTTTATTTTTCTCAAGTTTATTAAAATAATAAGGAATAAATCTTACAAATTAAAAAGTTGAATAATAATGAAATTGAAAAAAAAATTCATAAATTATCTCAAATAAAATAAATAATAATCAAAAAAAAAAAGATCAAATCTAAAAAAAAAAGATAAAGAAATTAAAATAATAATAATTAACATTTCATAAAGTATTTCAAATAAAATAAATAACAATCAAAAGAACGAGGACCAAATTTGATAGAAAAAAATTTCAATAAAAAACTAATAGGAGAAAAGCAAATAACAATTATAAAAATGAGGACCAAAGTAAATATAAAAATTAAATTTTAAGAAATGAAATTGAAAAATAAATATTCAAAACAAAATATATATAGCAATCAAAAGTTTGAGGATCAAATTTGATATAATCAGCAAATAATGACATTTCTAAACTTTTCACAACTTCCGGAAAGTGTTTTCCTCCCAAATTTTTCAAGAAAACACTTTCCTGAAAATCAAGCCACATTTTCCTTTGACTAAAAAGTGTTTTCCGTTTATCAACTTTCCTAACAGCAAACAAACACAAGAAAGTTTGGAAAATAATTTCCCAGAAATCACTTTCTGCAAAACAAACACAAGAAAGTTTGGAAAATGATTTCCCAGAAATCACTTTCTGCAAAACAAACACAAGAAAGTTTGGAAAGTGTTTTCCCGGAAACCACTTTCCGGAAAACAAACACAGCTAAAAAGGAAAACACTTTCCTGAAAATTAAGCAAAAATTTTTTTGACTAAAATATATTTTCGTTGACTAGAAAGTGTTTTTCATTGATTGGAAAGTGTTTTCTGTTAACTGGAAAGTGTTTTTTGTTGATCGGAAAATGTTTTCTGTTGACCAACTTTCCTAGTGACAAACAAACACAGAAAAGTTTAAAAAGTGATTTCCCGAAAATTGTTTTTCAGGAAACAAACATAGCCTAAATAGTTTAAGAAGAACATGTATATCAATTGAAATTTCATCTGCACATAGCATGCAATAACGTGTTGGAAATTGACAACTGTAAATGGGAAGCACAAGAAATAAAAATCCTTGCAAAATACATATATTTGTCACTTTGTCTATTTTACTCCCTTTTTATTTTTTTATTTTAGTATTTTTTGTATTTTTATTTTTTTTGAAAAAAGACAACCTTAGTATTAATTCTAAGAAAAATTTATTAAAATTTTTAGAATGGATGCATTAATGCATTAATTGATGAACATTATAAATATATTTTTAAATTTAAAATATTTTTTTAAAAAGAGTGAAAATCTTGAAAATAGTACATTTAAATAAAATTACTTGAATAGTGTAAAAAAATAAATAAATCAAATTTAGTGATTGGTGGATGTCTTTGGAGTTCCTGTACAAACACTGCCACAACCTTTTATAGAGCTCCATAGAATAATTTCTCCCATAAAATCTAGACGATTAATCCTTGACATGGATGTTGACTGTTATTTTTATATTATATTTGTGTGTTTGAAAGGGTAATTATTTTTTAAAATATTTTTTAAATTTAAAATATATTAAAATAATTTTTTTATTTTTTTTTAAATTATTTTTGACATTAAGATATTAATGTATTAAAATAATTTAAAAATACTAAAAAAATTATAAATTTAAAATAAAGAAAAAATTAATTTTTTTTAAATAATTTTTTTTTTAAAAAAAAAAAACAGACATGTATCTGATTCACCTACCATTGAACATCTCTGTGTCATTTTCTATTTAGCGGCGAAGCTATTTCTTTGGCTAGCTCTCCTAGCAAGCTGAGGTCAGTTAATGATCTCAACAACTCCCCCAATTCATATGATTTGACAAGTGATGGAAACGTGATCGTGAATGTTGAACTAATTATTAATTAACAAAACACAAACGGTCTAATTTTTTTGTATTTTTTTCATTTTTTTCTTTCATTTTTTTCTTCAATATTAATTATTTTAGAAATTATACTTTATAATTTTTTATTATAGCTAAATCATTGTACCTACATTC